CTTTTGAAGATTGCTGATTTACCCTCGAACAAGATATTTCAACTGTCACCAAAGATGATCTTAGCAAAAATAAACTCAACTTTTACAATAGTGCTTTGAGTATAACAATCAGTCTCATCAACTGATGATCTAGATGATAAATGTTTCAGTAAACTCGGTAGCAATTCCACTCTCTGTATTACAGGGGTGTTCTTATCTGTTGTTGCCCACAAGTGTTGAATAAGCATGGTTGTAGTTTTTCAACAGTATTCGATCATCACCAACACACTTGAAAAGTGAAAATCATTAGCAACAATAGCTAATGTAGGGCTTGGAAGCTAAGACAAGTAATCAGAAGTTTAATGGGAATACATTTGAATGAACAGGAGGCAGGTCTCAAACTAGATGAGCTCAGAAAGGTAGAACCAAGAACATGGACAATGACTAGGGTGTGGGCCTTTTGCAGGACAGGATCCTGCAGCACTGTTCCTCTCTAAAATGGCCACAATATGATTACAAATTTGAACACTTTTGTTAAATCTCCCCTTTCTCTTCTTGATCAATTCAAGATTTTCAGATCCCTCATCCTTGGTACTATTTTGGTAAAACACTGTAATCTCTCCAATGTTTAGATACAATATGAAAAGTCAGAGAATCATACATGTAGTTCATTGAGCCTGCACAAGTTCTTTAAAACAGCTATCAAATTAGTTCTATTCCCTTATTCTTTGCCTATTGACTTGAAAACTTTTCCTCCTTCTCCAGTTTTAAGAAGTTACAATGCACAATTCCAGACACAGCCTGAATCAGTCTGCAACTATATTCTTGGGTAAAACTGATGCCATGATACCACCCAACCAATAGTTATTGTATGTAAGAGATAAAGATTCTTAGGTGGAATCTTGTGCCAGTGACAAGGCTCTTGGCCATCAAATGGACAACAGGTAAGATTCCCTCATCACCTCCTCCTCTTATTAGTTGGATAGGAATAATGCAATAAAATAATAATAGAAAATGAATAATGACACTAACAAATAATGCAAGTGTATGGGGAAAAGCAGGAGATTTGCATTAGATAATGATGCTCATTTGAAGAGTTAGTGTGAACATGATGGGCTGGCTGACCTCATTCTGTGCTCTAACATTTGTGATTCTGTGAATACCCAGAATTGAGTATTACAAGCCAATCAAGTACTTGACAGACCAGCAGTGAGCCCTTCCTAGGGACACACGTCCCAGCCACAGAGCTGCTTGTAGCTGTTTGAATGGCTGTGCCACTAAAGTGGCAGTGGCTACTGGCAAATAACAACTGCTAAAGCTCAGGACCTAGGCCACAGATGAGTGATGGAGGGAGGGCTTGTGCATAGTGAAGGAGCATGGGATTTGGCAGCAAGGGCAAGGCAGTGGTTATCAGCAGGCATTTCCTCCCCAGTGTGGGTCCCTCAATCAGGCACTGAGTCCTTTTGAATGATGCATCCCCACAAACCTAACCCCAAATTCACCCTTGAGGATAGAATGCAAACAAGTCAGGGTTTGACCACACATGGAACGAATCCTCCGCCTATTGCTGAGTTCATTCCAGCAGCAGAAGATTGGGTCTTCAATTGGGCATTCATTACCCACTTAAGGCTCTCAATTGGCAGTACCGTACACCGGCATTCCTGCCAATGGACTTACGCAGTGTCGAAGTGGAAAGGTTCCCATAGCACCACCACATATTCTCCTCATGTCAGCTATTATGCATTTGTTTTTTCATTCATTATAACCATTGTATTCCCTTCAGCTGTCTCTTCACCTAGAAAACACTGACAATAATACGGTAGAATGTAGCATTCAGTTTAAGAAGGAAGAAACTGATTTGGAAACAAATGTGCTAAGCTTAATAGGGATGAATTATGAAGGAATGAGGGCAGGCCTGGATGGGGTGGACTGTCAAAGGAGTTTAGCAGTGAAGAAGGTTAAGAAAAACTGGCATACTTTTAAGAAAATAGTTTGTAGTGAGGAAGAAAAATTTGAGGTTGGGGATAAACCAACCACAGTTAACCAGGTAAGATAAGGGGAAACTCAGATTGAAAGAAAAAAACATGCAATGTGGCAAAGATTAGTGGTAAACCAGAGGACTGGCAAAGTTTTAAAAACCAACTAAAGATAACCGAACAAATAATAAAGGAGATGAACTCCGACAGTAAACCTGCAAGTAATATCAAGACAGATAACAAGAGCTTCATTAAATATACACAAAGGAAGAGAAAAGACAATGTGAACATAGGCCCCTTGGAGAACGAGGATAGGAAGAAATAATACGGAACAGGAAATGGTAGAGGAGTTGACTAAATTCTTTGCATCAGTCTTCATGGTAGAAGACACTAATAGCATTTCAAAATTACTAAACAAACAAGGGGTAAGAGGAGGAGAAGAAATAAATACAACTATCACCAGAGAAAAAGTGCTAGGAAAACTAACAGGGCTAAAGAGTTAAAACCCCTGGATCTGATGGGATGCATCATAGAATAATGAAGGAAGCAGCTACAGAAATAGTAGATGTACTAGTAGTAATCTTCTAAGGATCCTTACATTCTGAAAAAGTCCCAGAGGATATAGAAAACTGTCAATGTAACACCTTTATTTAGAAAGGGAAGGGGACAAAAAAAAAAACAGGTAACCAGAGGCCAGTTAGCTTACTATCTGTTATTGGGAAAATGTTAGAATCTCATTATAATAGCAGAGCAAATATGATCAGAGTCAGCATGGCTTCATGAAGGTGAAATCATGCTTGACAAATTTACTACAAATTCTGATTAAGTAACAAACAGGACACAGAAAAAGCAATGGATGTAATATATTTAGATTTTCACAACGCATAAAGGCGTTAATAAGGCACCACACATTAGGTTATTTAATAAGATAACAAACCCGTGTTGGTAGTAGTATGTGAGCATGGATAGAGGACTGGGTAACTATTAGAAGACATAGTGTTGCACTATTACGGGTATTTTCAGGATGGCAACCTTTAACTAGTTCAGTGCCACAAGGATCAGTGCGGGACCACAATTGTTCACAAAATATCTTAATGACTTGGATGAGTAAAGCCAATGCACTGTAGCCAAGTTTATCGATGATGGAAGGTAACTGATGAGGATGTCACAAAGCATCTGCAGAGGGGCACAGACAAGCCAAGTGAGTGGACAAAATCTTGGCAGATGGAATATAATGTGGGGAAATGTGAGGGACTTTGGCAGGAATATAGAGCAGCTGAATATTATTTAATTGGGAGAAGGTCTACAGAAAGCTATAGAACAGGGATTTGGGAGTCCTCATCCATGAAACACAAAAAGCTAGCATCCAATTTCAGCAGGTAATAAGGACAAATAGAATGTTGTCCTTTATTTCAAAAGAAATGGACTATAAAAGTAGAGAGGTTTTGCTAAAACTATACAAGGTACTAGTCAGACCATAGCTGGAATACTGTGAACAGTATTGGGCCCCTTGTCTAAGGGGAGCATTGCAGCCGGTCTGGAGAAAGTTCTCTAGGTTGATACCAGTTATGGAGGAACTGCCTTATGAGGTGAGGTTCAGTAAGTCAGGTCTGTATTCACTAGAATTTAGATGAATGAGGGGTGACCTTATTGAAACATACAAGATTCTTAGAGGACTTTACAGGGTAGACATGAAAACGTTGTTTACCCTTGTGGGACAGTCTAGGACCAGAGTAAAGTTAGAATAAGGGGTTGTACATTTAAGACAGAGATGAGAAAGAATTTCTTCTCTTCAGACGAATCTTTGGAATTATTTACTGCAGAGGGCTGTTAAGACTGTGTTGTTAAATATATTCAAGGCAGAGATAGATTTTTTCATCAGTAAAGGAATCAAGGGTTATTGGGAAAAGACAGGAAAGTGGAGTTGAAGATCATCAGATCAGTCATGATCTCATTGAATGACAGAGCAGACTCAATGGGCTCAATAGCCTACATCTGCTCCTATGTCTTATAGTTCCTCTGAATTTTTGGTGTAATTTATAAATAGTAACACTCAACCCCTGACTTTAAGTCTGCTGTCCTTGTACTCGACAGACTGGAACACGAGAACAGGCATAATCCCTTGAACCTGTTTCACTTTTCAATTAGATGGCTGACATGCAGCCCACTTAATTTTGAGACTGTGCTTGGCTTGAGATCAGTAATGAGAGTTGGGGCTGAAGTCAGGAAGGACGGTCATTATAGCTCCAGAGGGAACGATGATTAGTCTAACAGGACAAAACAAAAACAAAATATTACAGGTTCAAGACATATGAAACAAAAGCAGAAACTGACTGATTTGCAGGGGGCTTTATTCTGAACAGCCAGAGAGAGAATGAGACAGAGCTCAAGACAGGTCAACAAGGTGAAACATCAATTCTTTGTCTCTCTGCTTCACCTACGGAATGTTTTCTTGCATTTTCAATCTTCCTGATTTTTTGTTTCTTTATTCATTCATGGGATGAGGGTGTCGCTGGCTAGACAGCATTTGTTGCCCATCCCTAATTGAGAGATGAGTCAACCACATTGCTGTGGGTCTGGAGTCACATGTGGCAGTTTCCTTCCCTAAAGGACATTAGTGAACTAGGTGGGTTTTTCTGACAATTGACAATGGATCCATCATTAGAGATTTATTCCAGATATCTATTGATTTCAAGTTCCACCATCTACCATGGGGGATTCAAACGCAGGTCCCCAGAATGTTATCTGGGTCTTTGATTAACAGTCAAGCAATAATACCACTAGGTCATTGCCTCCCCTAATGGTAATATGGTCCTGTTGTCAGGTCAACTATCTAAAATTGCTCCCCCAGGATGAAAAACCAACAGAGTAAAATGGTCATTTTCCTCCTCTAAGATCCAGACGCCTGGATTTCTAGACTTTTTGGTATGATTGTTACCATACTTTTTTCTTCAATGGGAAGACAAACAATGCCTATAGAAACAGCGTATCAACCATCATTAGACCTATCACTGCTCCAGGTTGACGGAACCATTTAGAACTCACCACTTTTTGCAAGTGCTTTTCCTTGCGCACGTCCACCATGACAAGCCCCTCCTTGACCAGTCCAAGGCCCACATCATCCTTCGAATCAGCAAACTGCAGGGTAACAAATGAGCAGCTGGGTCCTCCAAATTCAACATTTAGTAGGCATTGGGTGTTCTGAATGTCTCTGACAACACTGTCAATTACATCAGCTTTAGCATCTTCCTGTAGGACAGAAGGAAAAGATCAGATTTGCAGCTAAGTAATACTATTTGTTTGTTAGTGGTAGTTTATAACCAGTCACAAAAACTCATCAAGAGTGAAGTTTTTGGCTCAGTAGTAGTATCCCCAACTCTGAAGTGGAAACTAGAGCTCTGGTTCTGAATTCTGTGAAGACATCTGATGGGTGTTTACGTCTGGTGGATCTTGGTGCAAATGCCCCAGTGTTGAGTTTGTGGGAGCCCATAAATCTCCCTTCCCCGTAATCCTCATATTGAATTAACTTTCGACTTAGACCTGAAAGGTGTGCTGCTTCATATTGTCCTCCCTGAAAAGAATGTGGAAATACAAAATACAACTCACCAAAAAACAATTCACCATATGGTGAATATAACATTGAAGTAGTGCTGCATTGTTAATGGTATGAGGATGAGATTTCAACCAGGGGTTCACTTCCTGTGGTTCATATTGATCCAATAAGACATAATCTCCAGTGATTAGTGCTTAGGCACATTATTGGAGCAAAGTTGAAAAGGCTTAACTGTAATCAGATCAGTGTATCACAGGAGACCCAAATAGAATGAAATATTTTTTAAGAGTTAGGAAAATCTCACATAAAGAGCATATTAAATTACCACCCAGTTTCGTATTCTTCCTCCTGGCTCTCTCCTTTTCTTTAATTCCCTTTTCTTCTTTCAAGATTTTTGAATGCAATGCTTTTTTACAGCAGAGATGCATCAACCCACTTGGGATCACGTAGTCATGATAGTCTCGTCAATATAGAGATGTCGAGCTTTTTATACATTTGAATTTTTTATACATGGGGTTTGGGAGACCAGCAGTGAGTTGGCTCTTAGCATTCATTCTTTACAACTGGCTTATTTTGGCAGAAGATGTAAAGTCCTAGTCTTTCCCAAATCCTTTGAGTCTTATCCAGATAAGGAAGCCAGATTCAGCACAGTAAATGATGGGAGCCAACTTGCAGATTCGAGTCACCCAGAAGCCAAATGAAAAGAGTGTCAGAATAAATGTAACTCAAGATAAAGCAAATTGACAGCAATCTGGCACTCTTGCCTCCGAGTCAGAAGGTTCTATGTTCAAGTTCCAGTTCAGGATTTACACACAAGTTAAAGGCAATACTCCAGTGCAATACGGAGGAGGTTCTGCACTGTAAAAGATGTTGCCTTTCAAATAAGTCATTAAACTGAGACCCCACCAGTGCTTTCAAGTGGCCATGCAACTATTCAAAAAAGCAAGGGAACTATTCCTGGTGTCTTAGCTGATTTTGTTTTGTGGAGAGGGGGTTGTCGGTTAGTTCAGCTGGTCAGCAACAGCTGGTTGCAATGCAAGGTAAAACCAATGGTGTGGGTTCAAATCCTGCTCTGACTGAGGTAACCATGAAGGACTTTGCTTCTCAACCTCTCCGCTTGCCTGAGGCATGATGATGTTAAACCGCCACAGTCATCTCTCTCTAATGAGAGAGCAGACCTATGAACTGGTGGGACTACAGTCACTTTACCTTTACCCAGCTGATATGTGTCCCTCAAAGGCAGATTATATCATCATTGTCCTATTACTGAACATGGGAGCTTTGTGTATACAAATCAGCTGCAGTATTTTCTATGTTACAACTGTGGCTACATGTCAAAACCATTTCATTGGCTGTAAAAGTCTTTGAGATATCTGGTTGTCATGAGAAGTGTGACAAATGCAAATGGTTTGTGTTTTCTTTCAGTGTCACGGTGCACCTCAAACGAAGGATTAAGAGAAGGTTCTCTATTATTATTCCTCATACACCCAGATTTGTAATCAAAATTCATCCAGTTTTGTGGCACTGAGTCATAATTAGAAAGGCAATGACAGAAAAGTTAGATGTTTCCGGAGGATACCAGTGGGAAACTTTGAGATAGCTCTTTATGGCCAGTAAGGGAGAAGGTGCTTTAATTTGAAACAATACATTAGAATAGTGACAGAAATATTTTTAGCTACTGACTGCATTCACCTACTCAGTGAGAATGTCTTTACCTGTCAACACTACAAGGTATAAGGTACGCGTGGGAAGGAGTTGAATAAAGATACTCTGTATTCAGTGGTTTATAAATATTTCTACAAATTGATGTGGCACTTAATTCAATTTCTGAAATCCATCAGGAAAACGGGACTAAAATGAAATGCCTTTCACCAAATAAACCGTTTATTTAACCATTTACAATATGAACTAAATTAAATATATAAATTAGCAATTCTCTCAGGGGAATACAATCATTATACTCGCAAATTATAAAAGAATGAGAAGCTAATGGAATGAATTGAGGGTTGCTAGGGAACTGAATGCTTTTAGTTGAATGTGCATGCTAGAGAGTTGATAAGTGTCATGTTAAAGTGACAATGATGTTTCAGTGGCCAGAAACTTTGATATTTACAGATGGTTTCAAAACACACACTTCCAAATATGGCATTCAAAGCACTTTACCTGGCCTGCATTCTATGTGTATGAATTGATCTCCACACACTATGTCTAAACACAAACTGTTGAATTTCTTTCCTCCTTTTGATCATCGAGACACTTATAAACCCCTATGCTTGTCAGGATCTAATTACTAACAAAACTCATGGAAGTAAAGGTCAATCAGCATTGGCAAAAAGAGAGAAAAGACAGGTAAACATTTTAGGTATAAATAAAACACACACAACATTTTGCTTTAGCTGATATTTGCTTATGTAGTAGGCACCTCCCATCTTCCCTACAAAAACCATTCTGTAGTAGTAATGTGGGGCACAACCCTCACTAGTCTCTGATCCCATTAATTAGCCTCTTCCAACAATTTCTCATGGTTTGATCTATTTTGGTACATAGCGCCAGTCAGCATCAAACACTCTTGTGTATATACAGTGTGATAAGCTGAAGAGTGAAGTTTGCTCTGCTTCGGCTTTCAGGACCATCCCAGATCAGCTATAGCACAATTGAAATAAAAAGAAAAAGAATGCTAAAAACCTAAAACACAAAGTAATTTACAGCCTTTGCTTTTATTTCAGGAACAGAGAGGTGTGCTATAAATCTTCCTCTGCTTTATTCCATCTATACCTCTTAACATCAGCCTTATTCTGCCAGAATCTGAGAAAATGCCAGTTTAACTTGCAAGTATGGAGCAGTTCTGTGTTGTCAGTTTATGCACATTAAAAATTGAGCCAAAAAGTTCATTATACTTCGGAATCTGAGCCTGGAAAAGATTAATACTTTAGCATCCTGGCCTGGACTTGAACTCAGATTCTAGAAAGCGCCAGTAGAATCCTTTAGAGCAATTTTTGGACAAATGTACTGGTAATGGAGTCAATTGTGAGCCTTTCTGTAGTTTGCACCAAATGGGTTAAGTGACCGTTATAATGTCACTGGCCACACATGTCATATGAATGATTTAATCACAATCTTTTTGGTTGAGTGCAGAATGTTGACCAGGACACTAGGAAATCTTTATGTTTTTTTTCAAATACTTTAGAGATACTTAACACTCAAATGAATTTCCAATGGAGGCTGACAAGGCTATGATTTAATATCTCAATGATTGAACAAAAAACAAAATCATCTAAAATAAATCCTCAGCGGACTTTAACTTGCACTATTATGAAAGTATTTGCTTGTATAATTAAGTACAAATGCAATTGTTTGATTGGTTATGGCTGTTTTGGTTGGGGGTGTGGGGGTTGATTGAGATGCAACATATTTGATTAGGAACCGGTTCCTAATGTTGATACTATGTTCGGGAAGGTGGTTACATTCTGTGTTAGGGGCAAGCAGACAGATAGGGATTTAGTGACTACTGGGCAGACCAGAAAAACAGGGAGGTAGCACAGGAGTCTTTAGAGTTTCCACCAACTCATCAGTTTTCAGTTCTGGATATTAGTGAGGATGATGATTTCTTCGAAAGTACAGCAGAGCCAAGACCATGACAACATGGTGGTCCAGCTTTACAGGACAGGAGGAATTAAAGTGGAAGGACAGTATTTGTAGAGGATTTTGTTTTAGTTAGGGGAACACACAGGCATTTCTGTGGCTGTCACTGTGACTCTGGGATAGTTTGATGCCTCCTGTCCCAAGGTCCAGGATGTCAAGGATGACTGCAGGGCTTTCTTTTCGGAGAAGAGTGAAACAGCTAGAGGCCATGGTCCACGTTGGTACTAAATTTCAAATTTAGAGAGCTAGGTAGAAAATTAGAAATCAGAATCTCTGAAGTGGTGGATTACTCCTGGTGTCACGTGCAAATGGCTACAGAAATAGGAAAACAATGCAGATGAATGTGTGACTGGAAAGATCGTGCAGAAGGAGGGTTTCAGATTTCTGGGAGCATCTCTGGAGATGGCACCTGCACAAACTGCATAGGTTGCATCTGAAGAAAGGTGGGACCAAGTTCTTGTGGGGCATTTTGCTAGTGCTGTTGGGAAAGCTTAACCTAATATTAGATCAGGTGTGGAAACCAGAAGAAAATAATAAAAAGTAATACCAGGGTGCACAAAATACTGGGAGAGGGAGACAGTACCAAAATAGCAAGTTAATAAGTGGAGTTGAAGTAAGGGAGAAAGTAATAAATAACAGGGTATATGCCCAGTCCAATAAGAATGGAGGAACAGCTAGACTCAATGTTTGGGAATGAGGTGCACCAAGTAAATCAAGTAATAGTGATCATTATATTGTAAGACTTAGGAGGATGGTGGAAAATGACATTGGTGAATCTGGACTAAGAATAATCAACTGGTGGACAGCTGACTTAAAGAGGATAAGAACAGAGCCAGGATGGATAGATAGATGGGAACCAGAGGTTGGTCGGAAAAAACAGTAGCTGAACTGTCGGCTGCCTTCAAAGAGATGGTTCGGGTACGGTCAAGGTATATTCCCTCAGAGCGGGGAGATAGGACAAATAAATCCTGATCTTCCTGGATGACAAAGGAGATAGAAACTAAGTTAAAGAAGGAAAACTGTGCTTATTAGAGGTGTCACTAGCAAATATTGAGAAGTAACCTGAATACACAAGGATCAGAAGAGGGGGGAGAAAACAAATACAGATTGTGAAAAATGGCTGTCTGCTCACATAACGAGAAATCCAATGTCTTCTAAACTGCATCAATTATGAAGAGGTGATAAGAGGAGGACAGGGCCAATTAGGGATCAAAAAGGCAATTTAAACATGGAGGCAAATAGCATGGCTGATGAGTTAAGCCAACCTACAGCACATGGATCGCAGTGTTTCAAGAAGGCAGCTCATCACCACCTTCTCAAGGACAACTGGAAACGAAGGGCAGTAAATGCTCGCAAGCCGGCGCCACCCATGTCTCACAAATCAATGAAGAAAACCTTTTCATCTGTCTTTACCCACAAGGCAGATGCTGCCCTGACTATGGTGATAGAGGAAGAAACTCAGTTACTTTAAAATTGATAAAATGGACGTACTTGACAAGCTATTGGTACTTAAAAATTGATAAGGCACCGGGATTAGATAAGGTACATCCAAGCATATTCAAATGAGAGAGTATGGAGGTTGCAGAGGCACTGACAAGAATCTTGCAATCTCCCCTGGATTCATGGGTAGTGTCAATACTATTGTATTGCAAACATTATGTCCTTGTTCAAAAGATGTTGTAAAGACAGGCCTAGCAATTACAAATCAGTCAGCTTAACTTTGGTGGTGGGAAAACTTCTAGAATAAAAGTAATAGTTACATGGGAAGGTGTGGGTTGACTCAGAAGAGTCAAACTCCTTTCTCCAAGTCTATTAATCTTTCACAGGAGGCACAGGAAAATTGATGCAATAACTTACAAAGTCTCCAAGTTACAGGCTGAAGTCCACAGTTTACAGCAACTGGTAGGAGAAAATAACTGGCTTTCTTTAAGGCTCTAGGTATTTTACTGCACAGAGAGAGACATACACACACCAACTGCCCTTCCAGCAGTCTGAAGGTTTCTCAATGATTTGTTCATACCACAAGCTGTTCAGCTGCTCAGGACCCAATCACAGACTGGTTCTCACAAGGATGATGACCTTTGGCATCAAAACTGGTTACAAATGCAGTTATGTGGACAAATCACACTCTGCCCATATACCTCAGGGCGTGCCCATTACAAATACCTTCCCTCAATGCCTGACTAAGTATAGTGTAAACATGACAAGAATGAGTTTCACTAACTTGCTTTTAGAAGCGGAGCAATTCATTCCACATACCCTGGTCTTAAGATCAGAAATAGCAAGAACTGCAGATGCTGGAGTCAGAGGCAACACAGTGTGGAGCTGGAGGAACACAGCAGGCCAGGCAGCATCAGAAGAGCAGGAAAGTTGACGTTTCGGGCTGGGACCCTTCGACGTCAATGTTCCTGCTCCTCTGATGCTGCCTGGCCAGCTGTGTTCCTCCAGCTCCACACGGTCTTAAGACCAGTCTGTTTTCCATTTCAGTCAGAATCAAAACTACAGAAAATAAAGTGATGCAGTTTTTAAACATCTCATCTTGAGTACTGTGTCCATTTCTGGGTGCCACACCACAGGAAGGATGTGGAATACATAGGACAGAGTGCAAAAGAAGTTTATGAGAATGGTTCTAAGGATGAGGCACTACAGTTATGAGAAATGTTTGGAGAAGTTGGGACTGTTTTCCTTGGAGAGGAGTAGGTTAAGAGGAGATTTGATAGAAGTTTTCAGAGTCATGGAAGGTGTGGATAGAATAGAGAGAGAGAAAAAAAAATTCCCATTTGTAAACAAATTGAAATCAGAAAAGACATGCGATCAACACTAAATTCAAATGCTCAGAAAGGCAGCACACACACGATGAGCCAAAAGACCTCCTTCTTCACTAAAAATTCTCTCATTAGGTTGCTTGAAAAACGACACAAACGTTCACTTTCTAAACTACACACACACACACACACACACACACACACTTTAAGATCTGACCAAAGTAAATTTGTTTCTGTTTTATGGTTCAGTTTTACCCATTTTTATATTATATCCCTTAATCCTTTTCCTCTCCTGTGACACACTGAGCTGTTTCTTGGAAGATTTTATACCATTAACATCCAGCCAATAATTTCCTAAATTTAAACTTTCTCATTCAGAAGTCATTATAAGGGTAGAATGAGGGGTTCTGATGGCATTAGCACAAGATGTTCTTACTCATCGTTACATCCCATTTTTCCAAATATAGACATCAACATGCTTGCTACGTGGAATAGAACCCTAAGTGAAGTGTCAATCATTGTTTATGTAAGTATCCATACCTCATGGTTGACTTGTCATCTAAAATCACAGTGCTAGAGTCTGCCAAATCCATATATCTTGCAGCCATGTCACTACAATTTTAGTACAGTGGCAATGGGAACACTTTACAATTAGTTATATTGAATCCTGAGGTAAAGACTCTGTGATTTCCTTTTCTTAAGACTTTTATAATGCCTAGAGAAAGCAGCATAAGGTGAAGGACTGATTGGTAGCAGGTTTGTCACTGGTGCTGAGGGCAACGTTAGGGGCATGGATTAAAAATATTTCACAATAGTGAAGAGCATTGGCAGGCTTACTTTCCCTATCAGGTGCCACTACCAACACCTCTACAACACTAGAGTGCAATTCTCTCTCTCGATCTCTCTCGGTTTAATGGGTTACAGCAACTACAAACCTACCCAACAGAAAAATACTGAAACATGTGCAGATTTTTTTTTTCCCAAAAGGTTCATATATTGTAATCTTACTTACATCTTGTGGCACCTGGATATATGCAAAAGTATACTCTGTGGCCTGGGCAGGCAGGACTCGTGTGCTGAAGGCAGGTGGCAGAACACCAAGACGAGTAGATGCCACACACTCTTTCTAAGGGAACGAGCATAAACAAATCAGCATGTGCCACAGCATACAGTTAATACAAAAATAATCTGCATTTATATAGTTCCTTTGATGTGCAGGTTTTACAGAAACATCAGCAGATAAAATTTGACAGTGAACCACGTTAGGAGATAATTGGACAGGTGGCCAAAAGCTCAGTCAAAGGGGTAGACTTGAAGGAGTGTTTAAAGTAGGAAAGAAACATAGAGAAAACTTTATGGAGAAAATTGTAGTACTTATTGCCTAGGCACACAAAAGCACAGCTGCTAATGGAGCAGTGAAGTAAATCGGGAATATGCAAGAAGCCAGAATTGGAGGGCAGATATCTCAGAGGTACAAGGGTAAGGAGACATGAAAGTGTCAAAAGGTTGAATACAAAGACAAAACTAACTTAAATTTAGACACTGCCGTATCAGGAACCGAAGGAGATTAGCCAAGAACAAAAACTGATGGGAAGGAGAATCAGACAGCAGAGTTATGGATTAACTCAATTTTAAAGAATATGGTCAGTGAAAGACTGATTAGAAAAGCACCGGAGTGTTTTGAAGAATGACCCCTGTATCTGAATTTTAAGTATTAGACAATTTTTAGGATCACAAGTAATAACAATGTATTGTGTTGATCACAATGCAGCAAAACAAGGGGCTTGGAGATTATTAAAAACATTTTAGTAGAGGTATTGTACTTTAAAGATCAAATCATACATCATTCAGATTTCTGAAGTATTGGCATCTTCCCCCTCACCCAGTCTTCTTTCACTCTTCTAAAGAACTGTATTTTTTTTATTGGGTTATAAGTCAACAGGCATTTTCTCTCCAAAATATCAACCATTGTTCATGTACATGCGAGGTCTGTAAGTCATTCAACTGTGTAAAGCAACAGCTAAGTTCCACTCTTTGCATACCAAGAGCTCACTTGTGTCAGGGGTCAGTGGGCAGTAATGAGGAGGAGGAAACCATATTTCATTCTTCTACTCCCAGGAGCAGAAAGGCCAAAGGTAGCAACCAATTTAGATCAATGTGGTTGACTCTTAACAGCTGTCTGAAGTGGCCAATAAATAATTATGCTCCCGCAACATTCATATCATGAAGGAATAAAAACAGAGTAAACATGGTTCTAGATTCTACTCAGACCTACAATGTATGATCAGAGGTATCCAAACATAAATATGAATGTGCTACAAAACAATACCATGCAAGATTGTGTTTGATTCTATTTTGTATATATATATCCATAATAATCTATTTTGTGGTCAAACGTAGTTTCTGCAGGGAAAAAAAAAACTGGGAAAACAACAAGATAACTGAAGCTTGGCTGCTGTCCTACTGAGCACAGCAACTGTATTGCAAACTCTTCTGCAGCCGTCACTTCATTGTAGTGTTGTCCACGTGTATCCCTTACACTGGTAAGGGATTTTTAAAGTTATTTGACTTGAGTCTAAAATTCTTATTTCTTGCACAAGAGTTATGGCTCCAAGCTTTTTACTCCACAGCTTCCAACAGAAAGACTAATGGCAGATAGATGTTAGGTCATGAAATATGGTCATTTAGACTGCCAGATACAATTATTTTTGAACTTACCACATCTACTTTCCTACCTCAAACCCCACACTGGGATACCTGAAAATCAGGCACAATTCTCAGGAATGTCAAGATTTTTAAACAAAATGTGTATATGAGATGTGAAGTTACAAAGTGTTTCAGCAAAATAATGGTTCTATTAAAAATAAACTGTTCTCAGTCTGTAAACAAAATAACATTCGACAATTTAGCGGAGTATTTCATTCCTACTCGTTTGCTCATTTTGATTCGCTCAGTTTCATGGCAGTAAAGTACAAATTAATGGAAGGTAGCAGCACTGGCTGAAACAAGTACAAGTAAGGGAGGGTCTGGAGATTGATGATTATTTAGAGACGAAAAGAAAGCAATCAATTTCCATATATAAACAAATATTAAACAAATTCCAGTAGCAATATATATCTAAAGGTGCCTTTGAAGTGTCAATATAAAGAAGTGTGGGGCAGTATTTCAATAGCCCCCTACACATTTTACGGCTAACAGGTTAAACTGGGATGGGTGGAGAATGTTTAGAAGAAGTTCAATCTGATCATATTCTCTCCCTGAACCTGGCCTACCGACAGCTGCTTTTTCCATTTGATGTGGATTTGGAGAGCTATTTGTGAAGGCCTGTGAACTGAAGAGGTTGTTCTTTTGCTGTGATGTGGAACCACTTCAGAGCTGTAGGAGAGATTTGACAGTGGTGAAAACAGTCCAATAGAGCAACTAATGCAAAACACTCAACAGCTGCCACTAATAAGCTAAAGATATATCACCAACTGTCTGCCTAAAGAAAGTCTTTTCAGTGTCACGGAGCTGCTAACTCCTAATATTAAGAGTAGAAATAAACAGATTGTATTTATATAGAAATTTTTATGAAGTCCCAAAGTTCCTTTTTACTCAGTTGGTACCACTGCTTTCCTGTAGAAAATGTAGCAGCCAATTTATAGACAGCAAACCCACAACAACAAAGCAGTAATAACTAGATAATCAGATTTTACATACTAGTTGAGTGATAAATATTGGTCAGGGCACTGGCATTAACATCCCTATTGGTTAGGACATTATGAGCTATGAGGAGATAAGCAATCTTCACAACGTAGGAGCAAATTACTGCAGAGGCTGGAATCTGTACTGAAAACAACAAATGCTGAAGATCAGGCAGCATCCATGGAGAGAGCGCAAGCTAACGTTTCGAGTCGAGATAACTCTTCATAAAAGCTGAAGTGAAGAGTGGAGGGGACACCATTTATGCCATAGGTTGGGGGGGGGGGTGTGCACCAAGCTCATTTCCAATTTCACATTTGTTCATTTTGTCTCCACTTTCCACCTCTCTATACCTTTTACATCATGCATTTCTGACACTTGCCTTGACCTCTTCATCTCCATTTTGGGGAATAAACTTTCCACTTCAAAGCCACTGACTCCCATAACTACCTTCACTACAGTTGTTCACACCCGAAGTTCTGCAAGTATTCCATCCTATCCTCCCAGTTCCTTCACTTATGTTGCACCTGTTTGGATGATGCCACCTTTCAAAACAGAGCTGCTGACATGGCTTCCTTTTTCTATAACTGTAGTTTCCCGCCCACTGTGGTTGACAGGGCCCTCAACCACATCAGACCCATTACCTGTGCTTTCGCCCTTACCCCTTCCCATCACTCACAACAGCACGATTGGGTTTCCCTTGTCCTCACTTTACATCCCACCAGCTTCCGCATTCAAAGGATCATTCTCTGCCATTTCAGAGAACTCCAGCAGAATGCTACCACCAAACACATCTTCCCCTCGCTCCCCCATCTGCATTTCCCAGGGATTGTTCCCTCCGGGACACCCTCGTCCATTCATTGGCCACAAACACCACACCCCCTTCCCATGGCAACTTCCCATGTAACCGCAGAAAGTGCAACACCTGCCCCTTCATCTCCTCCCTGCTCACCGTCCAAGGGCCTAAACAGTCTTTCTTGGCAAGAAACATTTCACCTGTACTTCTGCAATCTTGCATATTGTACTCGCTGCACCCAATGTGGCCTACTCTACATTGGAAAAACCAAACTCAGACTGGGCGCCCGCTTTGCAGAACACCTTTGGTCTGTGTGCAAGCATGACCCCGACCTTCCCATAACCAGTCATTTTAACACAGCAACCTGCTTGCATGCCCTCTGGTCTGTCCTTGGCATGCTGCACTCCTCCAGTGAATCACTGCACGAAGTGAAGGAACAACACATCTTCAGGCTAGGCATTTTGCAGCCTTCTGGACTTAATATTGAGTTCAACACCTTCAAATTGTGAACCACTCCCAATCCTTCCCTTTCTTTTAGCTTTACTTGTTACATTCTTTGTCATCGTGTCCTCTCTCCCCTCTCCACCCCAGTGGGACTGACTTCTTTCTTGTCTGGCAGTTAGACACACCATTGTTCTGCCATTGTCACATTCCAGTCACTTAATCTGAACTATCAACATCTTTTCTACCCAGCACTCTCCACCCCAACACCACCAACTATAGCATAAATGCTGCGCCCTCTCCACTTCACTTCAACTCTGAAGAAGAGTCATTTAGACTTGAAATGTTAGCTTGCTGTCTCTACCTGATCTGCTGCCTGATCTGTTGTGACTCTAAAATTGTTGTTTTCTCAGCAATCTTCAGTTGTGGAGCTCAGTCTCATTTACTGTATCACCAGGAACTGAACACTGCTGCATTTTTCAGATCTAGTTTTAGCCCAAATTGTACCAAGATAAATAAAAAATACAACTCCTTCAACTCTATTCAAATTCCTTAACAACGTCAGCACATTTATTATGAGTGGTAAAATTATAATGAATGTACTGTATGCAGTCATTGGGTCCTAGCTTTTCAGTTCATAAAACTTTATTCTGTGTATTTCTTTAATGTACAGGTCTGACTGATTTGATATTCATGGGTCTGAAAGAAACTGCTTTTGATGCTGATGTGCTATTATTCTTAGGGTGAAATATCTGTAGGTGAACAGAACATAGAATGATAAACCACACAAATATGTCATTAGATCCTCTGTCCATTGGATCGATGCTAGATCACAAATTTATATATTAATTATAATGCTTATAAATTAGTGGCCAGATAACAGAGTGATACAACTAGTATGACATCATGAGCTTTGGCTCATGAGACTGCAAATTTGACAATAATTATGATCAGTGCTTTCCTATCCCAGGTGCAGTTGACAGAAACAAGAATGCTTCCACCTTATTTACAACTAACACCGACAGGATTGATAACTGAAAGGACAGCAACATGTGAGCAGATCATAAGCCATCTGCAGCTTTTGATAGTTTCAGAATAGTTGGGTACTGTATTGGCAACCTTCAATATCTGAACAGATCTACCAGAATGTTTATTTGCCGCGTTTATTCACTTAAGCTGACTTCTTGTCAATTCCACTTGAGTCAGAGTTGTAGAAATTTCAAAAAATTGTCCCTTTCTTTGTCTGAAAGAAATAGATTAATTCTGTTAACAAGAACTGCCTGTGTTACAATACTCAAATACTGATTTTTCTTGTGAGCTAAGACAGTATGTGTCTGTCAGAGCCTGGCCTGATCCCAGCCTTGTGTGTGTTCCAGTGGTTGTTAATACATAGTGATTAGGAATGAGAACCAAATTTTTCTTTATATTCAGTCTTGCCATGTAGGCAACTCTGGCTAGGCCAGCATTTATTACCCATCCCTAATTGCCCAGAGGGCAGTTAAGAGTCAGCTACATTGCAGTGGGTCTCAAGTGACATGAAGGCCAGACCAGATAAGGACAGCAGATTTCCTTCCCTAAAAAATATTAGTAAACCAGTGGGTTTTTATGACAATTGATAGTGGCTGTTAGGCCAGCTCTTAATTCTAGATTTGTCTGAATTCAAATTCCACTATCTGCCATGTTCCCAGAACGCTGGGCTGGAGGTCTGGATTGCTCGTCCAGTGACATTACTGTAACATCACCACTTCCTTTGCAAAGATCCCCTGCAACGTAGACAGGGACAGTAGAGAAATTCTTTATTATACAGGTAATGCTGGTGGGACCACATTCATTACGATTCTTGAGGTAAAGGTAGCTTTTCACATTCAATTTGCATTATCATCACATTAAATTTGCATTATTTTCACATTAATATTTTGTACTGATGGAGCTCCAGTAATTATATTAAGGAAGGAATTTTAGGATACTGGTTCAAAAGGTGAAGGAGGAATGCAATTTGTACGTCCAAGTCATGAGAAAACCCATTTGGCTTGGCATATTCTCACAACCAAAATGTTGATATGGTTGGTCCATTAAGCTTATGGTCAATGGTGATCCACGAGCTCCACAATATATGTACTTGGTGATGCCAATGTTCCCTATAGCTAAAGGGAAATTTCTCTTGCTTGAGATGGTCATTACTTGATAGCTGTGTGTCATGAATATTACTGGCTGTTTGTCAGTGTAAACCTTATGTTATACAGGTCCTTCTGCAGGATGACAAGAGCATCCCCTGAAGCTCCTGAAGTTGGGTCCTTAGATTATGATGATATTTAGCTGATCACCTTTCCACTGCCCTTAATTTTGCTAGTGTGTTAATGCCAAATTTTGTGAAATGTCACCGCATCTCTACTTGCCTTGCAACCATTATCCTCCAAACTCTGATTCCACTTTACTTAAAAACTGGAAATCAAACTTGTGTATTTTCTTCAAAGTGAAGGAAAGAGCTTGGATCCTGGCCTGAGTTTTACTGCTTACCTTACTACTGATCCAATTTAATTGGTAAACCTTGATAACTAATGCTTCCACATTATGAGAGGAAAAAAGTTCAGAAGCTGTGAAAGTGGGTTTCCATTAACTGAAGAATTTGATGTCCAAATGTATTTAGAAATTGATTGTTGGTTTTCTCAAAACAAGATTGTTTGCTCAAAAACAGACAGGACAGGCCCATGTCCTTTTACAAAACAGTAAAAAGAATACAAGAGGAAGTAAAAATAATTGCTGAGTCTGCTCAAATCATTTGGGGGAAGTGATTCATCACAGGAAGATATTCCACATGCTGCAGATAGATAAAATTAACTCCTTTTATCTGGTATCAGGTGCTGCCTAATTCATCAGAAGGATGGAAATATCAGCTTTCTGCGTTGATAATGTCTACGAAAGTAGTATACTGGCGTAAGTGCGTGTGTGTGTGGGTATATGGGGGAGCGGTGGTTTGGGATTTAATACCTCCATGTGTTTGTTTAAATTGAGGCTACAGTCAACCAAGAAGAATACCACGTATTTTTAGAAGGAGAATCACTGCGAAAAGGGATGCATTTTTATTTGAAATTCAAAAATGAGAACATTTACACAACCATGATCTGTGGCAGATGTACTGAGTATCAAACACAAGGCATGTTAGTTGCAAACATCTTTTATCGTGAAAAGGAAAAGCAATGCTGCTACAGCATTGGGAAGATGACTACTTCAGTTTTACAAGCCTCTCTCTTTTGCAATGCAGCTAATATTCTTAAAAGGTTTTCTTCCTTATGCTGACTATCTTACATTCTTACCGGTGACAGACATCAGTTAGATTATGAAAGGCTGTGTCAGGGTAAATGAATAAAAGTCATTGTCACTAGGAGGATGCTCCAAAGGGTTTAGTGGACTTCAAGTACTTACATTGCCGTAATCAATATAGAAGACATGGACTTTGGCAGGTGATTCAACCTTTTCCACTCGAGCTCTGTACCTATTTTGAAAACAGAACATGAGATTCATGAGACAAGAAGTTATTATGGGACCAGTTCACAGTAAGACCTGCAGCCGAGATCCAGCCCCGCTGCCAAACAAGTTATACAAGTAAAAGATATATGACAGTGTCTGCTCTTAAAATCATGTTGTCTGACTTTGATACACTGATTTTATGTGGCAGCTCCTCCTTTGCATTAACCTGACAAGAAATGAAGCCGGTTAATCTATTCACAGCTGCCCTTCCCTTTCCTGTCACTCTCATTTCAGTCTGGAATTCAGCTCTTTGTCCATGATTGAGCCAAGGCTGTAATGAGGTCAGGAGCTGAGGTCCTCTGGTATAACTGAAGCAATACTTCCCTAATTTTGCATTAAATTCCCCTCACAATAAATTATAACATTCTACTAGCTTTTCTAATTACTTGCTGGACTGTATACTAGCCTTGCGTTTCATGCACTAGGATACCTGGACCCCTTCGTATCTCAGAATTCTGCAAGGTCTCTCCATTTATGCTATTTTTATAATAATGCTCCTGTTTTTCTCTTCCGGCCAAAATGAACAATTTCATATTTTTCCACATTATATTCAATTTGCCAATCATTACCCATTCACTTAACCAATTTATATCTTTTTGTAGCCTCCTTAGGTTCTCTTCACAACTTACTTAGCAACCTACCTTTGTGTCATCAGCAAACTTGCCTATCATATCTTTTGTGCATTCAATCAAGTCATTAAAATTTACAAGCAGTTGAGGTCCTAGCAGTAATCCCTGTGGCACACCACTCATTACATCATGCGAACCTGAAAAAGACCAATTTATGCCTATTCTTTGCCTCCTGTTAGCTCGCCAGTCTTCTAGCCATGCTAACGTCCTATGCCATGAACTTTTCTTTGCCACAATAATGTGTTTGCTGATCAGGGAAGACAACAGAGATATGGAGGAGCAATGCTAGGGAGACATCCGAAAACAAAAATGAGAATTTTAAAACCTTAGCATTGCTGGACTGCAAGCCAACGTACTCCACTGACAAAAGGCGTGATGGGTGAATTCAACTAGGTGCCATATAGGATCTGAACAGAAGGGTTATGGATGAGCTTAAGTTTACAGAAGGTTCAAGATAGAATATGGATTGAAGAGTGCATTGGAATAATCAAGTTTAGTGGCAGTAAAAACATGAAGTTTTTGTTTTACTGGCAAATACAGTAGTCTTATAATTACACAAACTTTCACAAAGTTGTAATGGACATGTTGGATTGATTGGCCTTTTTCTGTATGCTAATAACTATGGACAGAATTTAATGCTTGTAGTTTCAAATCAAAGAACTGCTCTCTGTTGTAAACCCCCAAATGCCCCAGTTTCACTTGCTTAATACAAAACTGCAAAAAAAATTGCAATTTTCCTTTTTGATTTGGGTGCTTGGTGGAACTGGTCCGATGGTTTGACAGCTTCAATAGCCCTTAAGGACCTTGATAAAGGAGCCATTTGCTTTAATTTGCCTTCAACTACGACATAGGGGAAAATTATAGAAAGTTCATTCTGCACTCGGCATGCTTTCAAGTAATCAAGGGTGTGTGTGCAGTAATCAATAGCAGGTGTGTAGTTTCTGGTGGAGGGGAGAAGAGGGTGTGAATTGCTCTGAGGGGATCGTGCTAATTCTGTGTGAACTATGAATAAATAGCTATGTCTATTGTTTAATTTATAGGTGGAGAGATCAAAAGATAGTGCAGATGATGTACACTATGTACACCATTTGTACTATCTATCGTTTAATTGACAGACCGTATTATCTAAGTAATCCAACCAGTAGAATAGAAGAAAAATCAATCAATATATTCAGAAAAGAAAATGGCCAGAATACAGGTTTGGTGTAGGAAAAGTGGATTTGATCTCTACAGATCCTAAGGGAAGGGTGAGAGCTTGGCACATCTAATAACTTCTAGATGCACTGATCCTCAGAGGCAATATGTTACAGGATTATGTCAGTCCTCTTGAGTAATCCAGCATCACAGAGAAGTTGTGTAAGTCAACATTTGTTAAAAGCGAGTGTTGTTTTTGAGATCTGACTGTGGTTGAAAGATGATTCTAACAATTGCTGTCAGTCAATAATTGATCTAAAGCAAATATCATTTCTGCACAGAAGGTTATCATCCAACATTTGATAATCATTTCAGAAAAGTACACACTTAAGGGAGGAAAGTAAAGCAGAGCAAAATATTTGAACTCCAACAACCTCCGGAGTTCAGTCTTGTTTGCGGTCTAACCCTTTTGTGTGCACTGTTGGTTGACTAACCCATACACCTGCAGCCATAGTGGAAAAGAGCTGAAAATTATTAAGCATTTGGCCTAGTTAGTTTGAAAGGTTTCAAAGCTCCTAACACTTGAAACCTTCACACTGTGACAGCGTGCCCATCACAACAGTTGTGCAAAGCCTGTATCTGGTATCAGAGTTATTCATTTTCAGCTGCCTCTCGTTGCCCTGCCCAGTTCCTGCATGTCAACTGCAAGTACATGGGCAACAGCCCAAGTTGAATGCTTTTCAAAGTCAGACCCTGATCACGGCACAGTGGTTCAGTGGTTAACACTGCTGCTTCACAGCTCCAGGGTTCCGGGTAGGATTCTGGCCTTGGGTGATTGCCTGTGTGGAGTTTGCACATGCCCTGCATGGGTTTCCTCTGGGTGCTCTGGTTTCCTCCCACCGCCCAAAGATGTGCAGGTTAGGTGGATGAGCCATGGGAAATGCAGGATGATAGGGTAGTGGTGGGGGGGATGCTGTTCGGAGGGTCAGTGATTTTTCGATGGGCCCAATGCCCTGCTTTCACACTAGAGATTCTAGGAACCCACACCAATATTCCTTTCGTCATTATTCCAGAGTTCAGAGATAATATCCTGAATTAGGTTCCTCTTATCCATCTCACCAAAATAACTTGTTACTTCGCCATTAACTTGATTTGAGCAAGCCAGACAAGTCTGTAATTCCTTCATTGCAGAAATGTGGTTACCTTCTGGGAATGCAACACAAAGTCATAGGAACAGATTCAAAGCTGTTGAATTCTATATGTAGCTTCTTCAGGGAAGGTATAAACACTGCAACACTAGTAAATAACGTTGGTTTCAGAACTAAAGGAAGCACAAGCAGCTTATCAGAGGTGCTGTTTTTCAGATGAAACATTAACTCATTTCCTATCTGCCCAGTTTAGCTGGAATAAAAGATTCTATGGCACTACTTTCAAGAAGAGGAGTTTTCTGCTCATTTACCTCTCAACCAACATCAAAAAAAAGGATTATCTGGTCATTATCATATGCAAGCTTGCTGAGTGCAAATTGGCTGCACCATTTCCTACATCACAGCAGTGACCACTTCAAAATTACTTAACTGTCTAGAAAGATCTTAGGCATTCCAATATTCAAAGAAGCTGTATAAATGAACATATTTCAGTTATATTAAGAAAATTGTGTGTTGGTCCAGCACCCAGCACAGGACACCAAATTGTAGTGAGTACAATTAATTACATTGTAAATTAGGAAGTGATCAGTTATTTATCTAAAAGGTAAACAACTAAATCGTGGTAGAAGGATGTAAAACTATTGGACAGTGGACTGTAAAGTAGCAAAATAACTGAAGCATTAACAATTTTTTTTGTCCGATGGAATGAAGTTGTGTGATCTGGAATGCATGGTCTGAGAATCTAGTGGAAGTAGATTCTACTGTAATTTTCAAAAAGAAGTTGGCTAAATACTTGAAGGGGGGCTAAATCAATAGCTATTTCAAACAACTGATACAGGCACAGTGACCTTCCCCTGTGCTGCATCATTCTGTGGAAAATCAATAATTGTGTTGACCAAACTTTGCCTCAACCTTATCTGTTCATGTCTTCCATACTGGTGCTGAATTGAAGTCTCTCAGCTAGTTGGTGTAAGATCTGAGCTACAATGGCATATGCAAAGATATTTTGGGCACCAGGCAAAACTAACGCATATAGTCAAAAGTGTCAGCCCTGCAGGTGGTAAAGTATGAATGAGAAACAGCATACACTTGATCATTCAGTTAACTTTTCTAATTAATCTCCTGAGGAAGATGAATAAATATAGCAAAAACTTTCAGGAGAAAGCTCGGACATTGGAAGAAAAGCTTCGGGACAAAGATCGCATTTTATAACCAATGCAATCCACAGAAAACGTGCTCACTGTTCCAAAAGAATAGCAATCATAAAGTCCCATTATCTGTCTGTATTGATGGTCATTCCCAACTAAATTCAAACAGTTGTTTTGCAAATAAGCCTTTTATTAAGCCCTCTTTTTGCGAATGGGAAATTCTTCTTTCCTGGTGTGGTTATTGATAGAAACTTGTTTTTAACCATTCAAGATTTTAACTCTTGATCTCCAGTTCTTAAGACCATAAGATGTAAGAGGAGAAAGTAGGCAGTTAAATGGGAACACCACCACCTTCAAGTTCCCCTACCGGCCACTCATCATCCTGTTTTGGAAATACATCACTGTTCCTGGGTCAAAAATCCTGGAATTCCTTGCCTAATGGCATTGTGGGTCAACCCACAGCAGGTGGGCTGCAGCCGTTCAAGAAGGCAGCTCACCACTGTCTTCTCAAGGGCAACTAGGGATGGCCAATAAATACTGGCCAGCCAGCAATGCCCACATCCCACAAAATGAATTTTAAAAAAAACCTATTTATACTTAAGTGTGGAGCTGGAGGAACACAGCAGGCCAGGCAGCACCAGCAGAAAAGGAAAGCTGACGTTTCAGTCTGAAGAAGGGTCCTAATCCGAAATGTTAGCTTTCCTGTTCCTCTGATGCTGCTGGCCTGCTGTGCTCCTCCAGCTCCACACTGTGTTATCTCAGACTCCAGTATCTGCAGTTCTTGCTATCTCATCTATTTCTGGTGTTTCTCTCCCTTTTTGAAAAAGATTTTACATTGTCAGTTTTCCAGTTCTCTGGGTCTTCTCCAGAATCACCAAATTCTTAGAGGATTACTACCAGTGCATT